CAGGGAATGTCATGACATCATATGTTTCCATATTGTTAGCCCCCACCCAGACAAAGTCCTGGAGGGGGCTTGTAGTTTCGCCTTCGTCAGTCCGTCAGTCTGTCAGTCCGTCCGGAGTGATTTCTCGGAGATGGCTGGACCGTTTTTTTTTTGTTTTTTTTTGTTTTTTTTAAAACTTGGTATAAAGACATAGTGGTTAACCATACATGTGCACTTCAATTTATTTCCCGATTCGATAAAATATGGCCGACTGACGGCCATTTTAATGCCAAAATTCAGTCAAATACGGTCCTTGTGTGTCCATCGTCATTTTTCGGAGATGGCTTGACCGATTTTGTTGAGACTTGTTACAAAGACAAAGGGACCACCCATACAGATGCACGTTGTTTTACTTTTTTGAAATGATCAAATATGGCCGACTGGCAGCCATTTTGATTGTTAATCATGGCTTTTGTCTGTCCATTGATATTTCTCAGAGATGCCTTGACTGATTTCAATGATATTAGGTACACAAAGACACAGTGAGGAGGTATACATATTCACATGGATTTATTTCCTGATTTGATCAAATATGAGTGCCTGGCGGCCATTTTGAATGTCAAAATCCAGTTTTTTGGATGTGTCCATCATCATTTCTCGGAGATGCCTGGACCGATTTTGCTGAGACTTGCTACAAAGACAGAGTGACCACTTGTACAGATGCACATTGATTTATTTTTTCAAGGAATCGATTAATGAGCTCATTTGCATGTTTAATTACTAATTTAAATTCTTGTTAATATCTTGTGAACTAATAGTCCAAATCAGACCAAACTTGGTAGAGACTTGATTTGTCAATATAAGATATATGCTATGCAATATTGAGTTTCAATTTAATTAACAAGCTCATTTGCATATTTAATGAATTTTGAATTTTTGTTGATATCTTGTGAACTAATAGTCCAAATGAGACCAAAGTTGGTATAGACTTACTTGATCTGTCAATATACGATATGTGCTATGCAATATTGAGTTTCAACTTAATTAACAAGTTCATTTGCATATTTAATTAATTTTGAATTTTTCTTAATATCTTGTGTGTCCGAATGATACCAAACTTGGTATAGACATACTTGATCTGTCAATATAAGATATGTGCTATGCAATATTGACTTTCAACTTAATTAATGAGCTATTTTGAATATTTTATTAATTTTGAATTTTTGTTAATATCTTTTGAACTAATAGTTGTATTTGCTATTTAATATTGACTCAATTGAATTTTCATATTCAATTGATTGTGAATTTTTGTTAAAATTGATGCAAATTAACTTTGAGTAACATACTTTTGATTTTCAACTTAATCTTCCTACCCGATTTTATACATATACATTCAAACTTTATAATTCATAGCCAAATATAATCACATCTGACAGGTGGGGACTGTGTCATCTTCAGATGACTTGTATTTAAAAAAAATGATATAATGTACAAAAGGGGAAATTATGTCTACTTGGTACAAAATTAGTCAAGAAATTGTAAAAAAATACATAAAATTGTACAAAATGTTAAATTATTTAAAGGATTAAAATTGTTGCTATTAATATATTCACACTTCAGATTCTGACGAAGAGATCCAGTTTGCATCGATGGGCACCAGTAGTGTTTATAATATACAAGGTGGAAATGTACAGATTGGAGAGAACAATACAATTATCAATCATGGTGTCGCTGCACCAATGAAACAAAAAAAAACTAAAAGAAGACATGGACGAAAAGGAGATGGAGACATAGCTCATAAATATAACATCGAGCCAGGTGAGATATGTTCTGACTGCAACTACAGTAATTCTTTTGTACAGATATGTTGTGTAGTTTCAATATTGTTTGTGGTTTTCTCCTGTTACTGATAATGTTGTCTAGAATTCATTTACAGGAATTGCAAGTCCATCCATTAAAGCAAATTAATATTGTACGGTATAGTCTGATACCACTCCTATTTAAATCTTGCATCCCCATGGGTGAGCTTTCGGCAAGTGAACACTCTTTTGGCTAGGAATTGCACTCCTTCTGAAAATTTAACCACATAATTATTTGGCAGATTTGGGATTTATTGGCTTCTAAAATTGTGAATGACCACAGGAATGTTAATATAGCTTCTCCAAAATTGTGTCTGTCTGAGATTTTTTGATCAGATTCAAAATGACCGCCCAACGTTCATTTTGTTAACTAATGCTGTTGTGTTGCCATATATTGACATGTCATTTCAAATTCATATCTATATACATTGTACATCATGTACATATACTCATTTGCTGACTCATTCTGTTTTAACAAGTTCTGGAACTATATCTCTGATAAACCATGACCATTCATATTCATACGTGTATATACATCATACATACAATGTATGTACTTATTCATTACAATTCAATATTGCCAAATGGTGGCTATTTTAATAAAAATCATGCATTTCTGTAATTCTGGAATTCGGTTATGTATATACAGATCTCATTCAAATTTGAATTTAGTATTTATACAGCTTCATAAGAGAACACATCTAACATTACTTGACAGTTGATTTAATAGCTTAGTATAGTTTGACTTTGTAATTGATACTTAATTAATTGGTGACTTTAGCAGCATTCACACATAGCTCCCTACTACAATAGGCTAAGAGGTCAAAAACATGCTAAATTTAGTATGGGCTATATGGGTTAAATCTGATCTGTTATCAAGACTCAGTCCTTAGCATGGGCTAACAAAGTATCCTTGAATGCTTAGCCCGGGATAAACACCCAAAACACCATTGTATTCAATGTTCATTTGGAAAATTTACCATTATATTCATAACTTTTTATTTCGGTTAAAAGTTAAAAGGACTGAAGATTTCTATATTCTTAACAAGTTTGGGCATTCGTTAGTCATGCTAACCACTGTTTCTTCCTGTGCGTGAAAGCAATTGAGTCTAGCCAATCAACAAACATATGAGATTAGCTTGAATCATAGCCTTTGGTGTAGCCTGGACACGATGTGTAATTTTATTCCCCTCCTCCTGCTCTTTCTTCCTTCCCTCTTCCTTTTCCTTTCTCATGCTGGTTTTATTTTACATTGTATCGTATCCTTAAACAGTTTGTGTTCACTGATGACCATTATTCATTGTCATGATTTGATTCAATATTGATGCATCCTACCTGTTCCTCATGTACACACACTTTCAATAATTTCGTTTTAAATTTGCTAAGACATAACAGTACAAAAATTATTTGAGATCAGATTCAATGTCTATGTACATTTCTTATCTAATATTTGAATGCACTGCAATGGCTTCTGAATGAAACTTATTAGTCCCTGTTCGGACGCAGTTTTACAGATCGGATTCAAAACGGCTGACTGGCGGCCATTTTGTTTAGTGAATGCGGTTCAAATTTTGTACATTTATTATTCATCATGTTATAGATATACATATATATGTATTGGTTTGATGATCGTATTCAAAATGGCCGAATGGTGGCCATTTTTGTCCTGAAAAATCATCAAAATTAAGCATTTCTGGCATTCCGGAAGCAGATCTCAGATGTTAACAGATGGATTTTGTTGAAACTTGTCACATATGTTGGACATTATGGGATCTTGATCCAAGTCATTTTGTTTTTCAGATGGATTTAAAATGGCTGACAGGAGGCCATTTTGTTTTAATGAATGCGGTTCTAGTGCCATATCTCTGACAGACTTTGACTGATTATGTTCAAATTGTATATATTCATTATACATCATGTCATAGATATACAGATTTATTGGTTTTACGATCCAATTCAAAATCGCCGAATAGTGGCCGTTTTTGTGCCAAAAAGTAATCTAAATATTTCAAGCATTTCTGGCATTCCAGAACTGGATCTTGGTCTTTTATAGATGGATTTGCTCAAACTTGGTACATACATTAGTCGTTATAGGTCTCTAAAGCACTGATTCAAAATGGCTGACTGGTGGCCATTTTGTTTTTAATGAATGCCGTTCTGACATGCTTTGCATGATTATGTTCAAATTTTATACATACATTATACATCATATAAATATACAGATGTATTAGTTTGACTATCCAATTCAAAATGGCCAAGCGATGGCCATTTTGTTTTAATTAATGCTGTTCCAGAGCATTATCTCTTAGTATGGACAAGTACTTGTTTGATGATCAGATACAAGGTGACTGAATGTCGATCATTTTAATGTTAAAAAAGTCATAATCAAGCATCAGCTTCTTGATTCATATCTCTCACATGTTTATGTTTGAACTATATTACTATAAACCAAACTATACATCTTAAATTTTATAACTAACAGGGGCTGTTTCATGCATGGCTTGTTTTTTCAGTGATATAATACAATTCAGTAATATAATATAATTTATTTAGTTAATCATGATATCCATGGCAACATATTTTTTGCATGTAAAATTTGTCAGGTACTGGAGGTACTGGTGAAAATGTCACTTACAATTGTCTTCTTGTTTTCATAGGAAGACCACAAGTGACCAAGAAACTTATTGAAATGGGTTTTAGTGTATATTCTGTTCAGAGGGTTGTGAAGCAGCATCCAAATGTGAGTTGATATTGTTACTTTCAATTATTTTCTCAATAACAAAGCTGATTAAAGGGGAGCAGAGGTCTGGATTCTGTTTGGGAATACTCATTGTATACCCAAACTGTATCATTTCAACCATTCCTGTGCCAGTGATCAGTGTTTGGGTGACCGGTCGGTGTTTTCAATAAGCGAGTGAAAGGAAAAAATGAAAATGCGTTCGTTTTCTGGTTGGAAAATACTGTGCGGTCGAAAATTAAGTGATATGCAGTCAATTCAAAAATGGGAAGTTGGGCGAAATGAGTACTGTAGTTCAAGTGATGTTAGCATATTTCTAATTTAGTTTTAACTCGTACAATATTTATTTACTCACTGTTTACTAATAGCAAGAACATTGTATCTGTCTTCACTTTCAAGTTATTTTTTCTGCCGATTTCTCGCAACCAACAACATGATTTTTCATTTGGAATTTTGAGAAACCTATTATGGCATTCATACGCACAACACCTCACCACGTTTCAACTTTTAAATAGTAGTATTTAGTAGTAGCGCTTCTATGGGATTAACATACTAGAATGAATGGGTTCAATTATCAGTGTTCACTGGTGACATCATTTACTGGCCCTCTAGAGGCAAAATAACGCTATGCAAAATGGGGGTTTGTCATCTACTTCACAGCCTGTTTTATATATTTTGTTGTTGGACATTTGTAAAAAAATAAAAATTAAATAATGAATCATCTTTTAGTAAAATTATGAAAAGATTCTATGTTGTAGCCGCATCCTCTTTCTGTCACAGATGCCCATTTCCGGTTTTCTGCCTTCTCTTGAAGTGAAATTGTGCCTCCAAACATCAGATATATTGAGGGGGAGAAGCCATGCAAGTGGCACACACTAAATATCATAAAAACTTGTAGTTGTAAAACTATTCCCTTTATGAACTGGGTCAGAATTGCTCATGAATAAATCCAGTGTTTACTGTCAATAATACATTGCCAAGATTTGTTGAAAGAATTTTTTTAACTTTTTTGTCTTTCATCATTTCATAAACATAAATTGGAACCTGAAGTGTTCTTCTGAGCTATTAAATAGTCCCACTACCATGTCTACCCTGTGCAGCATTGCCCCTAGTGAAATCCTTAGCTGAGTACTTGTATGCAAATGAGGACTAGTGAGGAGCCTCATTGTGATATGAGACAGCCCATTTTTAGCTCCGCTGTCGACTTTGTCGAGCGGAGCTTATCATATGAGTGATTGTCCGTCGTCGTTCGTCGTCCGTGTCAATGTTTTACTTTTTCGAATTCTTCTTGAAAACTTACAAGCCTGAATGCTTTGATACTTGGTGTATATGTACCTTGGGTAGACCTCTCTCAGATTTGTTCATTTCATGATCATATCTTTAATTCTCGTAATTTTGGTGAATATTTTTGTCATTTTTGGTAAAAAGTGATATTTTCAACTTCTTGTTGAAAACCGCAAGTTCAATTGCTTTGATACTACATATATAGGTACTACATGTGGACCTCTCTCAGATTTGTTCATTTCGTGATGATATCTTCAATTCTCTAATTTTGGTGAATATTTTTGTCATTTTTGGTAAAAAGTGATATTTTCGACTACTTGTTAAAAACCAATAGTTCAATTGCTTTGATATTACATATATAGATACTACATGTGAACCACTCTCAAATTTGTTCATTTCATGATGATATCTTTTATTTTCTAATTTTGGAGAATATTTTTGTCATTTTTGGTAAAAAGTGATATTTTCAACTTCTTGTTAAAAACCGCAAGTCCAATTGCTTTGATATGACATATATAGGTACTATATGTGGACCTCTCTCAAATTTGTTTATTTTGTAATGATATCGTCAATTCTCTAATTTTGGTGAATATTTTTGTCATTTTTAGTAAAAAGTGATATTTTCGACTTCTTGTTAAAAACGACAAGTCCAATTGCTTTGATATTATTACATATATAGGTACTACATGTACATGTGGACCTCTCTCAGATTTGTTCATTTTGTAATGATATCTTTAATTCTCTAATTTTGGTAAATATTTTTGTCATTTTTGGTAAAAAGTGATATTTTCTTCTTGTTAAAAACCACAATCATTTATGGTGAAAAATGATATTTTTGAATTCTTGTTGAAAACAGCAAGTCCCATTGCATTGATACTATACGTATTGTTGATTTTCTAATGATATCTTCTGTTCTTTAATTGAAATGTGCATTGCTAATAGCGGAGCTATCTCAGCCGAGAGGCTGCTTGTTTGTTTTAATATTGTACTTTATCTGCAACATTTGCTCAATCCATACTCAATCCATGGACGTACAAACCATGTATGCCCGGGCTCAATCATAAGAATCATAACAATAAACAAAATGATAATACCTGTTTCATAGTTAATTTAATCTTTTGAAGTATTTTTCCCCCCAGTTTATGTGTTTAGTATACATACGAGTACTATTGGCAAATTTACCCATTTGAACTGTATTGTGTTCCGAATTGGCAGAGGTCACAATAGCTCATTAGTATTGTTGTTCTACACATCACTGGACTTTCTTTGACAGGTAGTGAGATATGGTTACTGAATGACGTCAAACGTTTGAAGTGCTTTTGTTGCTGCCTGGGCACTTGCTCAGTATGGGGCTAGGGCAGTGATCAAAATAGACAGACCTAAACAAAGTATAGTAGCATATGACGTGCATGACACCTTGTACAAACAAAAGACACATACTGGTACAATGTGGTTGATGAGATCTTCTAGCTCTCATTGGTCCCCTATGTTTACTTGACGTATTTTTAGGGCATTGACATTTTTGGTCGTTACTTATCCCCAATTCATAGGCAATAAATAACAACAATAAAGATACAGGTGTCAATAAAAATCACTGAGGTCGCATGTTGTGCTTAGTCACCTGTGTAAATACATGTTCCCCAATGGACTGTCTTATCTGTGCCAAGCCTACAATTACACATCAGTCTGTTTTTGATTGAAATTGGGTGTGGCCTAGTTTAGTTTTCTATTGCATTTATCTTTCTAAGACAGTATTTTCTGCCTCTATAAACAATTTCTTTCGTCATAGGCTTATCAAATTATTAAGATCTGATGCTTAAAATGAAACAGTTCATGTATATGTACATGTAATTGTTTTTATCCCGATGGAATAAATGTAATGTGTAGCCTGTAATAAGTAAATACTAAAGCAACTCATTGAATGCTTTTTGTCATGTTTTGCATACTTCACCAATGACATTGTTGCAGGATGTTGCTCGCAATAGTGATCAAAAAATGATTTTCCTATGGTAGTATTGATATGTGATAACAGAGGTTGTTGTCAAAGTGTTACGTTCTCCATACTGAATGCCTAAACTACATCTATGGAATCAGAGTTGTTTGGCAATGACAATGAACCTGTGGAATCAGCATTGTTCCATTGTTCCATCCTCAGACAATGGCAATCTTTCTATGGAATCAGGGTTGTTGCTTGTGGTGTTTGTAACCTCAGACAATAACAATGAATCTATGGATAGGGTTGTTTCTTGTGGTGTTTGTATCCTCAGACAATAGCTATGGATCTATGGATAGGATTGTTCCATGTGGTGTTTGTGCCTTCAGACAATAGCAATGAGTCTGGAATCAGGGTTGTTTCTTGAGGTGTTTGTATCCTCAGACAATAGCAATGAATCTATGGATAGGGATGTTCCATGCCTTCAGACAATAGCAATGAGTCTGGAATCAGGGTTGTTTCTTGTGGTGTTTGTATCCTCAGACAATAGCAACGAATCTATGGATAGGATTGTTCCATGTAGTGTTTGTGCCTTCAGACAATAGCATTGAGTCTGGAATCAGGGTTGTTTCCTGTGGTGTTTGTATCCTCAGACAATAGCAATGAATCTATGGATAGGATTGTTCCATGTGGTGTTTGTGCCTTCAGACTATAGCATTGAGTCTGGAATCAAGGTTGTTTCTTGTGGTGTTTGTATCC